TAACACGATTCATAAACATAATGAGCTCAGCACAGAAAATAATATGGAACAAAGAAACCAGGGACACCATGAAAAAATACATAACAAAATGACAGCAACCAATTCATACTTGTCAATAATTACACTAAATGCTAATAGATTAAATGCACCACTCGAGAGATGGAAAGTTGCAGATAGGATAAATAAAAACTACAGAAAAAACTGAAGTTGTTTGGCCTGGGAAAAGAAAAGATGCTCTATTCTTATATCATATTCAAAAGCCTGTCTTGAGAAAAGATATGTGACTTTGTGGTAGTTAAGTTGTTGTCAACTTGGCTGGACCTGGTTGAGTAGCTGGGCAGCTGGTAGTAGTTATTCCCATGATGAGAATGGCAATCAACTCCATGGTGGGATCTACCACAAGCAGCTGAGTAGCTGCTTTAGGGATGTGGTCTGCTTCCCGTATATAAGAAGCAACTTTGGGAATGGTCTCTAGCTTATGGCACGCTTGAACCCTGCATGTAGCCAAGTCATTGTTCAACAGCCTGCCATGCCCTGCCAATCCTGGAACTTCATCTAGACTTGAATTAGCCACCTGCCATGTTGTTTGGTAGCATTGGGACTGTGCCTTTTCACTTGTTGACCTTGGGCTTGTCAGCCTTAGCAGCCAGCAGCTGTCTGAGTGAAGAAAATCTTCTGGCTTCAGTGGGCTGGAAGCAGGAGGCAAAGCTGAAACTCAAGGTTGAGGGGTTTTCATCCAGCCCTAGAGCCTGGCACTTCTAACTCAGACTTAAAGCCTCCAAAATTGTAAGAGAATAAACTCCTGTTTGTTCAAGCCATCCCACTTGTGGTATATTCCTTTCAAAGCGGTACTAGGTCACCAAAACAGAATAATTCTATTCTACATCAATAAACAGAATTTGGCAGTATTTATAATAATGTTTTACATGATCAGTTTGCCTCTTAAATTAAGAAACCTAATGAAAAGGTACGCCTAATATTTTGCTTCCTTCTTCTTTGGATATCAAGTGTATGCCTGGCAAAACCAGTCAATGAACTGTGTATGGAGCAATCCTCAATCCTTCTCACATCCAGGAAAACTCAGAGTGAGCCTGCCACAGTTAACAATAAAAATTGAGTCAAGGAGGCTGAAGTAGATGTCAAGGTCAAGAAGGCTGGACTAGATGACCACTTCCTCTAGAAATAGGGGAGAAGGGTGCTAGGTAGTCACTCAGGAAGCCAAAGAAGGTCCAAGTCATGGAAAAGCTGAAAAGGAAGGTGAGAAAGGCCACTGACCTGGTATGTCTGCTTCAGGACTACTGAGACGGCCAGGTGATGGTCCCAGACCACGGAGAGCCCTTTGCCCAGCAGCAGAATGACATACCGGCCAGACTCCATCATCTCAAAGTGAGTCTCATCCTTCATGGGCCTCTTCACATTTATCTGAAGGAAGACAAGGTGTGAAAACAAGGAGAAGGAAGGAGGGATGTGATTTTTCCAGACCCTCCATCTTCCCCACACCATCCTACCTGTCCCCACTGAGTCAAACCTGTCACCTGGCCCACTGAGTCAGAGCTCACCCTGTGAGGATCAGGACCATGCCTGGACATTCCTGTGTCCATCTCACCTGCCACCCTCCAAGAATTCTATGACTAAGGGATGATTATAGAGGTGGCAGCCAGATCATAATTATGAGATTAAAACATACAACCAAACCAACCAGCAGAAGATCTTCTATCACTTTACAAAAAGTAATTTTACTGGCACTTGATCTTTAAATACTTGTGTTTCCTAAATGAGTTTTAAAAGTGGCATGATTTTAAGCATCTCTAGCCAATTGATTAAAAACTTGATCCCTTTATAAAAATGGGCACCTCACTCTGATCCTTCCTGTGTCTTCCCACATCCTACTCCTGAGGGTCACTGTGATCAGGGATCGGGGCCAAAGGACAACAGAAAGACTGAGAAGAACAGCCCTATGCCAAGAATCACATCTTTTGGTTTTCCAGAAGGACCCTGGCCTGAGCCCTTGGACTTGCCAGATCATTGCCAGTGCCTTCCTCAAAGCCCATCTCAGTGTGGTTGGCTGGCTATCTGATCCATAAAATTGACTAAGAATCCATCACCTCCTTGCAGAAGTCCTCTTCTGGTGACATGTAACAGGCAGAGCTAATCCTATGTGCAAATTTATGGCTCATATGGCTGCACACCTACCTATTCAATATCACCACTACCATCTGTCTATTCCAAATAAAATGTTCTTTGAAATGGAGTGGACACAGCTGACCCACAGTCAATGGTGATACTGGTTAAACAGTTTTCTTCCATAATGATAAAGAAGTCACCCTCTATGCCCTGAGCTCAATGGCATATATTTGCAAAAAGGCTAGGCCTCAGTGTGAGGTCGTGGAACAAAATGAAGGTAACTTCCCAGGACAGGTTTGGCACCAGAGCCTGGATCTCCCTAGGATTGGATATAGTCGGACCATCTGAGCCCACTAGAGTTTCTCAAAAGTGAGGT